ATTGGCCGTTGAACGCCCTCTTCTTCTTTCAGCAGAACCGTGCTTACGGCCAAGTCGGCTACAGCCAGGTACATATACAGATGTTCCCCTGGTTCGGGCTTTGTCAAGACCAGGGGGAAGACAGATATGTCTTGAAATCCTCAAAGTCCGTTTGGCATTCGGCCGTCCACTCGAAAGGGTTGGCTTTCTTCATGATTTGGAAAAACGGGATAGCTCGATCGGCCAGTTTTGATAGGAATCTGCTCAGGGCTGCTAGCCGACCGGTCAATCTCTGTACTTCCTTGAGATTCCTCGGGGGCTCCATGTCCATAATGGCCTTTACTTTTTCTGGGGATTGAGCCTCATATTCGCCCTTTGCATTATCCCGAACACCTTTTCTATGTCCAGGACATGATTTTCATTCTTTTTTGCTCTTGATCAGGATGTCATCAACGTAGGCTTCCATTGTGACACCCAGTACATCTTTAAACAACATCCCGATCATCCTCTGGAAGGTTGCCATCGCGTTCTTTAATCCGAATGGCATGACGATGTAGCAGAACACGTCATCCGAAGTAACAAACGCCGTTTTCTCTGCATCGGCCGGGTGCATGAATATCTGATGATAACCCCGGAAAGCATCCATGAAGCTCAGTAACTCGCACCCAGCAGTCTCATCCACTAGCAGATCGATCCTCGGCACTGGGTAGGGATCCATGAGGCATGCTTTATTGAGATCGGAGTAATCCACGCACATTCTCCAGGTAGATTGCTTTGGGGCTAGAACCACATTGGATAGCCATTCTACGTGGATTACCGGACGGATATGCTTTATCCTTAGCAAAGTGGCCACTTCCTTCTTGGTGAATTCTCGCCGTTCGGTCGCTTGGTATCGTTTCTTCTGTTGGACCGGTTTTGCATCAGACCGAACGGCAAGTTTGTGGCATATTATTTCTGGATCAATGCCGGGCATATCTTCTGGCCCCCGGGCAAATAGCACCTGAAACTTTTTGAGGACGACAATCACGCCATCCCGGATATCTGCCTCTAGATCTACCCCGATAGCGACCTTACGGTTCGGGGGAAAGTCGAGGTCGATTTGTTCAAGAAGGGTGGCGGGCTCCGGATGTGCCTCGAACTCCGTTCGGTGGGTTTCCACCTCAATTGTATTCACCCGCATCCCACGAGTGTTCATCTGTTTCAGGGCCTCCCGATAACATGTCCGGGCTGTTGTTGGGTCAGTTCTGGCCACCCCTACCCCAGTGTCTGTGGGGAATTTGATGCATGAGTGGTGGACAGAGGCTATTGCCTCCAGATCTTCCAATCCCGGTCGGCCCAAAATGGCATTATGGGCGCACTTTATGTCTACCACCACGAACGTCATTCGGAGTGACGCTCTGTGGGTTTCATCTCCAATTTCAACCATCAATTGGATGGTCCCTTCCGCCTCGATGAAGTTACCGGTAAAACTCGCCAGTGGAGTCCGCAGGTGGGTCAGGTTGCTCCTTTGCAGACCCATTTTCTCGAATGATTGTAGATACAATACATTCACACTGCTCCCAGTATCGACCAGCACTCGGCGGATTAAAGCATTGTCAATACACATGCTTACTACCAGTTCATCCCTGTGGGGGCTTGGAGAGTTGGGTAGATCAGCTGGCCCGAACGTGATCGGGTCTGTCCTTCTTTTCTTCTGGGGGGTGCGGAGACGGACCCCACATAAAGACTCCGCTCGAACCTTTTCCGTTCGGCGTTCGAATCTCCGGTCTCTCCGCCCCCAAATATGACCTTGACCTCCATTCGAGGCTTCTTTCCGGGGCCTCCCGAGCCCTCTGGCTCATCTCTGGGAGGAACATACACATCATTCTGAGGCTGGGCGTCACGTTGAGCATCCCGACGCCAGCTGTTAGGTTTCCTGGCCGGTTTTAACGTGCCCATTGCATTCGGATCTTTGTTCACATATTTGCCCAGATGGCCCCTTCGGATCAGATCCTCAATTGCTGTTTGCAGGGCCCTGCAGGCATTGGTGGCATGACCCTTTCTGTTGTGATATTTACAGAAAGCATTGTCATCCGTTCCCATGAACTGTCCAGAATCAGTCGGGATGGGAATATTGTCCCTCTCGTTCTGATAGATGGCCGCTATTGATAGGACCAGGGGTGTAAATCTCCCTTGTTTGGGAGGTAAAGTGGCCGCTGGGCTAGGACCCAGCCGATCAGCCAGTCTGATCGGGGCAGCAGGCGTAATGACCTTATCCCTGATCATTATTTCTTCTTCTAGGGCGGCATGCTTGCGCGCCCTATCTAATACTTCGGCGTACGCCGTGCCCGGATTCTTCTTCAATTCTTTGTACAACTCCCCCGTTCGGAGAGCATTCGTGAACAGGGTGATGGCGGTATCATCCGTCATGCTTCCCACTGTTAAAGTTTCATCCCTCCACCTTTTCAGGAATTGGTTGAGGGTCTCCTTGGCGTTTTGCTTCACGCTAGTCAGATAGCTGAAGTGCCGTTTGGGATTGGCACTGGAAGCAAATTGAGCTAAGAATAACGTTGATAACTCGGTAAAGCTATTGATTGACCCGGGCTGTAGTGTCTCGAACCATTCCTGGGCAGGCCCCCTGAGCGTGCTGAAAAACAAACGGCAAATGGCAGCCTCGGGTGCTCCTAGCAGCATAAGTCCGCCTTGGTAACTCCTCAGATGTACGTGGGGATCTCCCACCCCATCATATATTTGGCCGGTCGGGGGCTTGGCACCCCCTTGGATATCCGCGTACATGAGCTCCCTTGTAAACGAGGAAGTAATCCCCAGTTGGACTGGTGCAGGTTGTGCAGGTACCCTGTTCATCTGGTCCCGCATTTCATTCATTTGCCTCCTCATCTCGGCCATCTCTTCCTCCTGGGCCGTCAGAGGGGGCGGTGGTGGAACCCTCATATCCGCACAGTCCCGGTCCCAATGCCGCTGAGGGGCCCTAGTATCTTCCCGCTCGGCATGCTGGAAATGATGACCGACGGGAGTTGGTCCTCTAGCTTGCGACCCGACCGGGGTTCGGTCACTGGGACTGGGATGCGCTGCTGGTGGGGCGCTACGTCGATTATCCCGATGGGTATGTGAGCGGGATGACGCTGTGGTCGTTTCTGCGCGTGGAGTTTCTCCTGTAAAGCTGGAACCTCCTTCTTCTTCGTTTGCCATGTGCTGCATGAATTGGGCCATGTCACGCATGGCCTGGGGATTTCTCCTCAGAGATTCTGGGATCACAAAATCCTCATTAACGCGAGGATAGGATCCTCGACTGGATTGTCCCTGGGGGTTTTGACTCCCCGGGGTGTGACTCCTCCCATGACGGTGTGAACCGTCGTTTGTATGATAGGAATTGATTCTGACCATTTTTAAAAATAGAGGTTTTTTGGATGTTTAGAAAGTGAAACTTTTTGCAAGTTCCCACAGACGGCGCCAATGTTGAGGGTAAGTCCCGTAGATCCGAAAGCCCAACACGAACTTTGGATATATCAGGAATGGCCCAGAATCAAAGTGTGTGAGAAAATATAAAATCTGAATTAACTAGAACTCGAAAACCCACTTGTATTAATTAACCAATCTGATTACAAAAGATTTCCCGATCAGTAAGTCGGAAACTATGCTTTAATACAAGAAATAAGAGCAAATGATGCTATTCTAGAGCTTGAGTATCGAAAATCTAACCCTTACAATGACTTGAAACCTTCTATTTATACTAATGGAGAGCATGAGCTGCCTCTTGCTGATTGGCCGTTGTTCCACCGACTTGGTCATCCATGCTTCCACTTGCTGATGTCATAGTCTGGCATTAACTGCACCTGGCCACTTGCTGGTTGGCCGTTGTTCGAACGGGATGTTGGTCCGTACTGAAGATGCTGTCAAATTGGCCCAAGTATGATATATAGCCCGAACCTCGTTCGGTATGTTTTCTTATTGGGCCAACCTTTATTTGGGCCGAACCCCGTTCAGTATGTCTCCTTACTGGACCTTTTCATCATGGAGTGATGGGCCTGTTACTTGGGCCTTCCCGATCTGGGTATTGGGCCTCTAGGTCAATATCCCAACATAATCTTATTAAACTAATAAACTTTTTGCAAAGAAAAAATCATAAAAAATTAGTAATAGAATTAATTAAAAAATCAAAAATATGATATACTTCCAATTAGATAGATTGATAGCCTTCAATTATTGAGATTCTATATCGAACATTTTATCTTTTAGTTTCGTTATTAATACTAGACCAATCTTTTAGGACATGGATTGATATTTTTTTTTTCTTGAAATTTCTCCTTTGCTACACATGAAAGAAATGTCATTGAGATTAATTCAGCCCAATGAATTACAAATAAGACTTTATAATCATATTGATGAAGAGGTGTCTAAAATTTTGATAACAATAATTCTAACAGCTTTGATATATCTCATGAATATTACTCAGTCCGTGAGTCTTCTACCTTAACTACTTTCATTAATATTTATTCCACGATCGCGTAGCTAAGAACAAAAATAACGATCAAGAACAATGATTTATAATTATTATAATAAATTGTATTTTACTTTAAATTAATTTTGTAGACAATTTTCATTGATTTTAAGAGTTATATTCCCTCTGTTCTTAAATATGAGTCCTCTTAGGCTTTAACACGGGTTTTAAGAGGAAAATAATAGGGGTAGTGTAAAAGGTGTAGTGGGTAAATGAAAAAGTAGGAAAGAGAAAGGGGTAATGGTAATAAAAGTGGGGGTATAGAGGTATTTTGATTGAAAAAACTTACCAAAAAGGGAAAGAAGGATAAATAATTAAAAATGTCTCAAAAAGGAATGCGAGATAGTTAAAAAAGAACGGAGGGAGTATTAAATTTAATTTAACAAATATTAACATGATGGGACATATAGTGAGAATAATCAAAGGTGAAGGGATAACTAATTGATTTTTGAAAATGCAAGGTTACATTAATAATTATGACATAATTTAATACTCCGTAGTAATTTTCTCAAAAGAAAACTAAGAAAAATTACAATAAAAAAAGAAAGAGAAAAAATGCGCGCGGTCTTCTTCTTCAATTCTCATTAGCGCTCTCTTCTGTGAAGTATTGCGCAATTTACGCTTCCATCTCCTTGTGATCTAAAATGGAAGAAGAGCGTACAAAAAATCCTTCCCAGGTTTGTTCCAGCAATCAATAAAAACCAGTCATATCTAAAATTTTCCGTTAATTTCATTCACTTCAATCTCTTCTGCTTCTGCGTCGTTATTTATTTATTGATGGCCTAAGTTTCACTTTTGTTGCAACCATCTATTTATCTTACACAGGTTTTAAATTCAGCTCCATTGTTGTTGGAATATGGAGCTTCATCTTGTTTACAATGACCTAAATTATATTGTCTCATTTCCTATAAATAATGATATTGGCCTAAAATGTGCAAAATAACTTCGCCTTGGACAGGATTACGGGAAAAGGAAAAGTAAATATTGCTTGAAAATCTAATTTACGGATAAGTGCAAAGAAATAATTTTTCCAATTTCCAATTTGCATTGTTAATGTGGCTTCGGAAAAATCCTAGGTTTGCTAAGTTATTTAATTTGCAGAGTAACTAAGTTATTTCTCCCATAATTGAATTTGTATAAGAGGAATAAGCTTGTACTGATTCAACAATTTGAATGTAAGATTTTTTTTGGGAATTCAACGTGCCTTTTTGCAATTGCTACTCTTCTTAATGCCTCAGGGATCCTTAATTTGTTTCAGCAAAAAACTATACCGCTGCAACTCTAAAATTAAACAGTATAATTATTGTCTTTCTTGTTTTTTTTTTTTGTAAATAACTAGTATACGATTCAAGTGGAGCTTCTCTGGAGAGTAGTTTCCCAACTAATCAGAAGTCAAAATGAAAAAGGCCTTCGATCAAACTGTGAGGGAGATGTAAGTTTGATTCATTACTATTATGATCTATCATCAAGTAGGAACTCAAAAATATACTTCGTTTATGGTAAATGTAATCCTCCTTTGATGATATAGATTATTTTACGGAGTAGTAAAATTTGTTCTCTCACTATGTCCTATATTAATCTGGAAAGAAAGGAAGTGCCTTCAGAGGGTGATCACCTCTCAGTGCATGGACAGCTATTGCACATAGTTTGTGCATGTGAAACAGCATGAATGCACTAGGATGGTTCATGCGCTTTATAATTTCATGTTATTCTGCGTTTTTGAAATTCAAAACACTTGTATGCACCTTTTTGGCTTCATGGCAGTCTTGTGTGAAAGAAAATTGATTAACCACAGAGAAATAATAATAATAATAATAATAATAATAATAAAGTAATGAGTAAATTATAGTTCTTCATCAAATATTACCTTTCCTTCCATTGTGGAGCTAGCTTATTTGATCATCTTCTGCAGAAAGCGGGAGGTTAACAAGAAAGTTCTTAAAGTCTCTTCAATAGAACAGAAGGTATTCCAGCTTCTACTTATTCTCTAATATCTAGTACTCCCTCACCCCTTTTTATATGATTTTCATGAATAATAAAATTTGACTCAAGATTTAGGAAACACAACTTACTAAGTTTAAAATGTATAAACAAATGTTAAAGAAAAAACAAAAAAAGAAGAGTTGGTTTGGTCAATGTATAGTAAAAGTAAATCGATCATATAAATCGGGACACAGAGAATATTATGCATATGTTTTGAGCTTTGGACGGAATAGTCATTTCTAGCAAGACCACTTAAAACTTGTCTCTTAGAATGTTGTCAAGAATAGAAGTTAGTGAATTACACCTTGTTGTTAACACTGGGATGGCTAGACTTATAATTGTATAAAGAATAGCAAACTACACTAGTGGAACCATCTCCGTTTCCCTCTTAAATTTATATGTATTTATTTTCCTGTTGTTTATAAATTTCTGCTTTGCTATGAAATCGGGTAGAGCTGTGTTTAAAAATTTTGCAGAAAGAATAGCTTATATATCTTTTGGATGATATTAGCTGGTAGCATGCACCAAAAATTGAGGACATGTTGTTTTTAGCCCTTATTTTTTTGTATGGATCTACGAAAAAACAGGTGCTTGATTCCACTACAAATGAGCCATGGGGTCCACATGGATCACTCCTAGCTGATATTGCACAGGCTACTAGAAACTAGTATGTTGCAAGTTCATCCTTGATTCCTTGTGAACTCTTTCTCCTTTGCCAACAGTTTTCTTTTGGGCTTCCATGTAAGAATAAAAGGGTGACCTTTTAATTATCCACAGCAATGATTATCAAATAATTATGGCTGTCATTTGGAAGAGGATCAATGACACTGGGAAAAACTGGCGGCATGTTTACAAGGTTATTGTGAATTGTGATACATGTTCTATTATTCTCTTTCTAAGTACTCCGTATAACCTTTTGAAGCCATTGTATAGGCAAAAATATATTTGAGCAAATCTATGTTTGGATTGGCACATAGTTTTTCCTTTTTTCTTCTTGATTTCAACTCACTTACAAAAGTTACAGTAAAAAGATAATATACACTTTTTTATTTACTCTTCAGGCTCTAACTGTTCTAGAATACTTGGTGGCACATGGGTCAGAACGTGTCATAGATGAAATCAGGGAACATGCACATCAGATAAATGTAAGCTTCTTTTCCATGGATGTTGTGAGTTAGACGAGATGCATTACTAGTTGTTGCACGGTTTCATATTTTCCCCTGCTTGCGACAGACGCTATCCGATTTTCAATATGTTGATTCCAGTGGCAGAGATCAGGGAAGCAATGTTAGAAAGAAATCTCAGTGTCTTGTAGTTTTAGTAAATGACAAGGAAAGAATGCAAGAAGTTCGTCAAAAGGCATCTGCAAACCGAGACAAGTATGTTTCATTGTGCAAATGTGCACACACACCCTTATTTTAGCATGACAAAGATACAATATTACACTGACTTAATTCTTCAAAATTGTGAGATAATTTTGATTGTCCCACATCAGTGGTCCAGAGGGTTTGAGTCTAGTATATAAGTTTGTGGTAAAAACCTCACCTCTTGAAGATTTTGTGGGCGAGTTAGGCCCAATTTAACATGGTATTAGAGTTGGTCTGATGGTGGGTTGTGGAACACCTGCCCACTTGATGGTTTAGGATGTTTTTACTTGGACTGTAATTCGTCCCAGACCAGACCAGACTTGGATAGTTATAAAAATACAAAGAAACCAGACCAGACCAGAACATACCAGTTCAGACCAGACCAGACCAGCAAATTACAGTCCAAGTAAAAACATGCTTAGGCCTTTAAGGCACCACGAGAGTTGATTTGGGCCTGTTTGTCACTTTGTCCACCCTTCACTTGCCCAGCTTGTATTGGGTGTAGGAATATTTATGGAATGAGTTAGGCTCAACTTAGGCATATGAACATAAGAACATGTAGCCATTTCAATTGAACTATATGTCATAGTTTGTAGTACTGGATCTACGTAAGACCATCTAATGAAATACTACATATACATTTTTTCGTTTTCCTTTATCATAATTTCAAGTGAAACTTCCTCACTTAATTGTAATTTCTTATAGATTCCGCAGCGTGTCAATGGGTAGTGTGACTCATCCCCGTTCGTATTCAAGTAGAAGAGGATACAATGAAGGCCGTTATAGTGGCCATTATGGAAGTCAAGATGATGATCAAATTGGTTATTGGAGGGAAAGAGGATGGAGCCACAGAGAAAGATATGACAGAAATTATGATGAAGGCGACAGCAGTTATGCATACAGTGATAGTGATTATTGTGGAAGTGGAACAAGCCAAAACATATATGAGTATAGTTATGGCACAAGAAGTAGAAGCTTTGACAGAGAGAGAAAGATTGCCTGTGACGGCAGTGGTCAACATTCATCAAGGTAACTCTAATAGGAACTTCTTGATTATTAAATTAGTACAAAGAGGCTTCTACATGACATCCCTGGATCTGTAATTCTCTATGTTGAAACTTGAAATGCATGATTAGTGACACTGATATGTTTGGTTGGTTATGTATTATTATCTCTGAATTATTGAAGGAAATAAATAAATGATATTTAATACATAATATTGTATTTTAATATTGTTAACCGTTACATATATTTCTCATTTATGAGAGCATTATTTCTTACCATATAGACATAGATACTCTTTGTATAAATTGCAGCTCTTGTAATAGAATTCAGTGTGCAGAATAATATTCAAACACTTCCTTATTCCTTATTCTTTATGGTATCAGAGCCTCACAAGCTCTAACCAGCCATCTCCCTTCTCCTGTGGCGGCAGACAACCCCCCTCAGCAAGGGGACCTCAGAAATCCCCCAGATGGGCAGCCTGCCATTTCTTCTACAACTCCCACTACCACAATCATCAACCCCCTCACTCCAGATGGTTTAATCATTCTTAACCTCAGCCACTTCCCAGAAAAACTTGAAGGGACGAATTACCTCATATGGCGTGACCAAGTGCTTGACCTCTTGGTTGACTCTCATCTCGACCAGTACATCAGTGACGGTGCTGTTCCGCCACCTACCAGTGACGCTGCAGGCCATCTCTTTTGGAATCGGCAAGACCGTCTCCTCCGACATGCTCTTGTCTCCTCCCTGAGCTCGGCGTGCAAACCATTGGTCGGATCCGCACGTACCTCTGCTGCGGTGTGGAAAACCCTTCAACAACTTTACGGGACCCGTTCAGCAGCTCAAATCCGAAATATGAAGGATGTCTTCCGCCACACTCGACAGGGATCTCAGGCAGTGGGCGAGTATCTCCATCATCTTCGTACCCTTGCCGACTAATTAGCTAAGGCTGGCCACCCTGTTGATGATGACGACTTCGTCATTCAAGCCATGGAGGACTCTGACCTGAGTTTGAATCCTTCACAAACTCTATTCGAACCTGTGGAGATAACAGCTTCGGCAACATCTACGCTTTGCTCACCAGTTTCGAAGCTACTCTACGGCGGAAGGAGGCTCTGGATAAGTCCGTTGGCGTGGTGACTGCGAACACTGCTGCGATGGGGGAGTCGGTCGCACTCGCAACTCGCAGAACTCCAGCGACGACTAATAATAATACTCCGTCTTTATTGGGCCCTGGCCCGTCTACTTATCAGCCCAGTCGCACAAACAACTCAGCCCGGGGTTCTACTGGGAGTCAGCCCAGAAATAAGCGGCCCAATGTCCCTCAAAATCCTAACCGACGTGGTCAGAATACTTTTCGGGGTACCACCAACAATATGACAACCCGCAACACCTCCGGGAATAGTAATTCCAATTTTGGAGCGAATATTATGTGTCAAATTTGTGGGAAACCAAACCATTCTGCTCTCAATTGTTGGCATCGGTTTGAACAACATGCTTATCCTCCTTAGGTCAACAAGGCTGTCACTAATCATAATGGATGGTTACTTGATTCTGGAGCAACCAATCATGTCACCAATAACCTGAACAACCTTACCTTGGCATTCGATTATACTGGCACTGACTCTCTCGTTATTGGTAACGGTAAAGGACTTGCTGGGCATATGACCCTTCACTCTCTCTCCTTACCTAATACTCTTTTTGTCCCTTCTATTCATACCAATTTAATTTCTGTTGCCAAATTATGTCGTGATAATGACGTACTAATTGAATTTCATTCTTCATTTTGTCTTATCAAGTACCGGCGAACGGGAGCAATTTTGTTACGGGGTATGAATAATAGAGATGCCTACAACCTGCCTGATGTGCCCTCTCCACCATCTCCCCCTGTTCACAACACACAAAAATACTCTGTAAATAAATGGCATTGTCATTTAGGACATCTTGCACTCCCTATCACTAAAAAAATTCTCTCTTCCTTAGGTATTTCTTTTCCAAATGTTGCAATAAATACTTCCTTATGTGTCTCGTGTGCTAGTAATAAAAGCCATAAATTACCGTTTGCAAAATCATCTCTTACGAGTCCGGGGCCGCTAGATTTAATTTATACGAATGTTTGGGCCCCCGCTTGTGTTACCTCTGTTGATGGCTTTCGTTACTATGTTATTTTTGTCGATCATTATACCAGATATATCTGGTTTTATACCATGACTCATAAGTCTGAAGTCACTTCTCTTTTTTCAACAATTTAAAAAAATTGTTGAGAACTATTTTCAACGCACAATTAAAACAATTTATTCTGATGGGGGAGGCGAGTACATTACCTTAGGGAAATTCCTACGCACATGTGGCGTTTCTCACTTACTCACTCCTCCCCACACTCCAGAACACAACGGCTTTGCTGAACGTCGGCATCGCCACATTGTGGAAATCGGTATCACCTTACTTCACCATGCATCCATGCCTCTTAAATATTGGTCTTATGATTTCCATACGGCAGTTTATCTCATTAATAGACAACCTGCCCTCTCTCTTAACTTTTGCACCCCATACGAAAAACTCTTCCAACAACTTCCTCATTACAATAAACTTGCTATTTTTGGGTGTCAGTGCTTCCCTTGGTTACGTCCTTATACCACTCATAAGTTAGAACCCCGCTCCAAACCGTGTGTCTTTCCTGGGTGTGACCAATAGAGTGCTTATCGTTGTCTAGATCTTGCCACTAACCGTGTCTTTGTTAGCAGGCATGTAATGTTTGATGAGTCGGTCTTCCCCTTTTCTGCAACCGCACCACCAGTCTCAAATATCACTACTGACATTGATCTATGGCTTCAACCGTCCTTATCTTACCTTCCCATTTCAGGTACTATGGTTACGGGGGTGTCTCCTTCTACTCATACCTCGACTAAATAACAATCTCCCGATCTGTCACCCACTATTTCCACCCAAAGTGACTCCATTCCCTATAGACCCACACCACCACAAGTTATTACTTACCAACGCCGTCCCAAACCAAATCCTCCTGTCCCCACATCTCATCCCCCTACCACTCCTGATATCACCACCTCAACCCCACCTCTCGATAACCCACTGCCCAAACGTACCCACCCAATGACCCTTCGACCTCGCAAACAAGCCAATATGGCCACTCACACTCCTTTACCTCATCACATAATTCCCACTTGTGCTTCTCAAGCTATGCAGGTACCAGAATGGCGGACGACTATGTCAGTAGAATTTGAAGCCTTGGTAAAACAGGGAACTTGGGATCTTGTTCCATCTCAGCCTGGATAGAATATTGTGGGTTGCAAATGGGTATATACCGTGAAATATAAGCCGGATGGATCTTTGGATCGCTACAAGGCTCGATTAGTAGCCAAGGGCTTTCATCAGTGGCCCGAGATTGATTATTCTGACACTTTTAGCCCGGTCATAAAACCGGTCACTATTCATGTTGTCTTGACTATTGATCTTTCACATGGCTGGCCGGTTCATCAGTTGGACGTCAACAACGCCTTCCTACATGGCACTCTTCAGGAAGAGGTTTACATGAAACAACCTCCCGACTTTAATGATGGTTCTGGGTTTGTGTGTCGTCTTCAGAAATCCATCTATGACCTTAAACAGGCACCTCGGGTGTGGTATCAGTCTCTTAGTGGATTTCTTCTCTCACTCGGTTTTTATCAGTTTGTTGCCGATGCCAGTCTATTCATAGTTTCTTCCCATAACTCCTACATATATGTAGGGCTGGCATTTTAAACCGAAAAACCAAAAACCGAACCGAAAATAACTGAACCGCATTGAAAGAAAACCGAACCGGACCGAACCGATAAATTTTGGGACCCGAAAATCGGGACCCGACAAAAAATTGATTAGGAATCGGTTTATAAATTCAAAATATCGGTTTGGACCGAACCGAACCGATTTTTATTATCAATAATAATAATTTGTATTATTATTAATACTTATAGTTAATGACGTGCAGAGAAGGTATAATAAAACTCGGAGTCACGCATAAACGTATTGGAAGCTTTGGTAGGATGGGCCGTGCACTTTGTGAGCTTACTAGGCGTCATGAGTTCGAATCCCAGCCATGCAGTTTAGTTCATTTTTATCTTTTCTGTTTTAGATTTCATTTTTCTCTCCCATCCTACTTTGTCCCACACCGGAAGAAAAAATGTAATTGTCCTCCCACACATCTATATAACAAGGCATAGCTAACATACAATATTGTGACCGGATAAGGTTACGTACTACTCAAGTTGAGTAGTTGAGTGGTCCTTAGTGGACTCAAAATCCTTCAAAAAGGTGCATTGGGCTTGAACCATCTAATTGTAGTTCAATTTTTTTTTTTATTTTCTTTTATTTTAATTTTAATGCAAGAGTCGGGTTAATTTTCGGTTTTTGATGAACCGACCCGAAAAATCGGTTCCCAAAAAATTGGTACTCGTTCCACTAGCGGTTCGGTTTCGGTTGGGATAATTTGGATAACCGATATATCGGTTTGGTTTGAACTTACACTGGATCGGTTCGGGACCCGAACCGAATCCAGCCCTACATATATGTGCTGCCCTACATATATGTGCTGATTTATGTGGATGACGTTATTGTTACTGGCTCTACACCGGCATTGATACGACAAACTTTTGAATCCTTGGCCCACCGGTTCTTTATCAAGGATTTAGGCGCCTTACATTTTTTCTTGGGCATGCAGGTTCTCTGATCAACATAAATACATTATAGCCATTAGCGTCTTCCACTTCCTTAACTCTGTTTGATGGTTCTGGCTCCTGTGATGTCACTCTCTATCACCAAGTCATCAGGTCCCTTCAATATTTGAATATTACCTGCCCAGATGTTGCCTTTGCCATTAACAAACTGGCTCAATTTATGCATAAACCTACAGTTAATCACTGACAGCTTCTCAAGCGTCTTTTGCGCTATGTACAGGGCACTGCCTCTCATGGACTTTATCTCCATCAGAGTGTTTCTCCCTCCCTACATGCCTTTGCTGATGCTGATTG